CATTATTTTGACTCGGAGCCGACCAGTCTCTGATTTTACTTATTAATGCCACGTGCTTGAAGAGAAGCAGCACAAACCAATTTTAAAATCTTTGGTTTGACCAGACCGAAGTTCCCATACCCTCCGTAATTTCATGCACATCTTCACATTACAGGTTGCAACACTATGCAATGTCATTGGGTTCCTAAAAACGTTTAGAAAATTATGTCAATGTTCTTTCCCATAGGATTCCCACACTAAAAGAGTTGAGGCATTGAAGGCCAAATAAATTTGCATATTTCACATTCTTGCGGGTCGAATTGTAATCAGACGGCCATTGTAGATTTCCAAGAAGTTTATAGATTAATTTAATACAAAGGCAAACTTTTAATTTTAATGAAAAGTTTCATTGGTGAAATTAAGGCAGCAATACAAATTATTATTATGATAACAACAACAAACATGACTTTCGTTCGGAGTACAAATTTAACATGAGCAAATCCCTGTTCAATCAATCAATCAATCAATCAATCAATCAATGTATCCAAGTTGTAGTTATATTTGTTTTGTTTTTTACCTGCTTATTTTCTCGATCATTTATACCGAAGTAATTTTTAACCATTGTTTTACGTGGTTTCATGTGAAAGACAACTGGGTTCTTATGAACTGATTTTTACACCACCCAGGTATGAATTGGGGAGTTTCACTCGAATATATTGGTCTGTTTGAAGTCAGAAGCCTTTAATTCTCACGGCTGTCTATCGGTATATCGAGAGAAATTATCGTGAAAGAATACCTTACGGTGGTCAAGCATTGCGATCGGATCGTGAAAGATCTGGTATAGGATCGTGAATGTAATTACTTGAAATTCTTCTTCACTGTGAAAAATCTGTTGTATTTTAAAAATGCGAAACAAGTCCGAAAAAAAATAATGGCAGTCAAAATGATTCAACTTTCTCAATAATACTGTGCAATAAGATAAATAAAATATGCTGTACTTTATGTGAAAACACAAAAGGCGCAACACAAGTATATGGAATTCATTAAAAAAAAGATACGTTTTGTACCTATAATGACTACATTCCAATATATAATGATATATTTGAAACTTAATCTTTGATGTGACAGATAATACAGTAAAATAAAAGTGTTTTTCATTGAAACCGTTTCTAGCTTTAGGTTGGCCTTGAGCTTCTTAAAACACGCCGTAAAGTTCATAGACTCGGTACATACCTGTACAAAATTAAAAAAATCATCTTGTCCCAGATTATCAACATTATTCCATCATAACACCGAAAACTATAACTTTAGACGACATGCCAACTTGGTATTTATCAGGTCAAGAACAGTAGCATACCATAATTCATTTCTTCTAGCTACGATTAGAGACTGGAAGAGCTTGTCAACTGAACTAATTTCAGCAACATCTTTGGCGAGTTTCAAAAGGTTGTCAAAGAAGATTCTCAATTTGTGTAGTAAAACAATATATTCATGAGGGCATGGTTATGAGAAAAAGATTCATACTAGATTACGCTTAGGGCTTAGTGCCCTTAATGACCACTTGTACAAATATAATCTTACATTGAATAGGTTTTGCTAAAGGACATTTGCGCTTTTAACTTTAATACACCTGAACAAAATAGACAATATATTTGCGCTTTTTACCTATAATAGTTGTATACCTGTAATCTTTAAAATTTACAAAATTCATGGAAAGATGTTCACATATTCATTGAAAGTTCATCCGAACAAACGAGAAATTCAGGGGGGATTTGTGTACGATGGAATTACTTTCCGTATAGACAGAACACTTAAACACTTATAAGTCAGGGGATATTTCATAGAGATGCATGCATCGTAAATAATTGCAAAGGTATTTCACCGGATTCCCATTTTCCTCTAAGTCTTTGGGCATTTAACACTAAATAAATGTAAGAACCATTTGAATAATTAAAATGTAATTACATTTTTCAAAGAAAAGTTTTTTAGTCATTTGAATTATCAAAAACGTTTAGTTTGTTTACATATTTCATGTCATTGGAATGTCGAGGAGCAATCTGCCTTTTGTAGTTTTGTATGAACGGTTTACTTTTAAACCTTGATTTTTCTCAGATACTAATCATTATGTTGAACCATTTTGACAGACAATTTTAGTTTTTGTGAATTTCTTTGTATAATTCATTATTTTAGATTAGTAATTGACCTCGCACATGTCTTCTCGATAAGATTGAATTCACCACGTTACTATATCAGAGCTTTCACGATCCAATCGTAATACTTGACCACCGTTCACGATTTTTTTTCTCGATATATCGAATGACACCCGTGATTCTGTTGTTGTCTTCGGTAGCTGTATGACATATACACATAATATGTTTTTTTTTTCAATTATTGTTTATCATAAATTAAAGGGGCCACCATTAATGAAATTATATTATTTTGCACGGGGGAGGAGTGGGGGATAGACAGGTTTTGAAAATGAAAAGTATAACCTGGTGTAAATAAAAAAAAAGCAGGGACAAGATTATGAAAGAAGGGTGATGCTACAGTACCAACAGGTGAAATGTACTGTTGTTTTTCCCCGCCTAACCCTCCTGATAAAGATAAAACCAGAAAAGTGCTTTGGACGCAATACATTAATAAATTTTTTACATTTTGTCACCTGGAAGCAAAGAAGTTAAGTAACCATATGCTGACAAATTATTGAAGCTCACGTTTTAATTGATAGTCATAAAAGTAAAGAGAAAACGTATGATTACCAATAACAATCTACTGGAGACAAAAAAAAACGTTGGTATAGGCAAATAACTACTAGTATGGGGTCATTCATTTCTGTATTCTTTAATGTTTTAGGCCATTTTTCCCTAATCATTATACTTTTTGCCAATTATTCTCTATTCTTTATATTCTAACAGTGCATTATTCTCTTTTCTTTATTTTTTTATCCATTTTCTCTATTCTTTATATTTTTGCCTATTATTCTCTATTTCGTAACCCCCTTTCCACACCCTCTAGTATATGTCACCATATAGCCTTCACAAATGAGTAAAAGTCATCACGAATAGGCCGTAAATGGCAAAATGATTGAATGCTAATCCTCATTTTGAATTGTAAACCTTTGGAAATTTGTTTTGTAATCAAACGATCTTAATAATAAAATATAATCAGATTATTGTCCTGAATGTTCGTGTAATAGTACTAATACTGACAGAAGGACCTAGGTCATCAGTTGTAATCATCTAAGATAACTAACCTTTCAGAAGAGAAAAAGTAAAGATCATGCATCTTTATTGTTCAGATTGATAACGTGTTTTCCATTCGTCGGCATTATCTCCGATTTAAATACTACCGCTGTTCATACTTAACGACAGGGCTAGTTTTCTTATCAGATAAGTAGTAATCTCCCTTGTTAATGTGATGTTGTAATCAATCGTATTTTTACCATCTTTATATAGTATTTCATTGTATTATTTACATTTGTGATTCATTTTATATTTAAATATAATAATTTTATATTTTTTCTATAGATAAAAACAAGGAAATTTGAAAGTCTTTGATTCATTAATCACCTTTCAAATCATAAGTCAGGCGGTCTATTCTGTCTAAATTAAGTAGTAAATACACCGGGATATGAATGGCTATCAAAAAGGAAAGGAAAACATTGTATAACGTAAAACGAGAATTAAATAGAGCGAAATGCAGAAATTGAATGCAAATGTTGATTCTTTTCTTGATTAGAGAAATCAATAACGAAAAACCAAAACACTTATGATATTCATTTTGGTTTTTGAAAAATCAAAAACGAAAAATGAAAAGACTTCCGTTTTCCGTTTTGGTTTTCGAGAAATCAAAAATGAAAAACGAAAACACTTTTGTTTTTCATTTTGGTTTTTACGAAATCAAAAACGAAAAATGAAAACACTTTCGTTTTTTGTTTTTTGTTTTTGATATTTCAAAACGAAAAACGATTGGACGCAAATATACACGGACCCTTTTGTCGTAAAGTTTTGTTTTCTACCGATCCCTATTGTCAATATTTAGCTTCACGTTAAGTTATGATGCAGACTTATCTGTATCTGTTGTAGCCTTTATCTCAAGTTCGATGGGATAGATGCGTTCAACATCGTCACCAAACTTTTAGTGAGAGAACATCATCTTTATAGCGGAAAGTGAAGTTGAAGGATAATGCTAACTACTTTTCATTCTACATAAGGATCTCTTGTATGAAGTCAGCCCCGTATGTATGAAGTCGTCAAGAAGAGGCGCACAGTTGTTTCCCATGGGCATGCCGATTATTTGTTGAAAAACTTGTCCTCCAAACGTAATAAATATGTTGTCAAACAAGAAATCAAGCAACTTGATAACGTCAGTTTCAAAGACTTATTTTCTTTAGTCTGGTTAATATTTTAAAAAGTACGATTTATTCCTCCCTAAGACAAGGTACTTGTATATACGTTGGCCATTCTTTTTTTTAAACAAAACAGGACAAACTCTTTCAATTTTTCGTTTAGTTTGAAATGAGTTATACTTGTGTAAAGTGTTGAAAAGTAAAATGTTTTAATAATATCGCAAGATGAAAGAGTCTTACATTGTATGTACTGTAACAGATCTTTGTAATGCTTTAGAATCCACATCTGAATCACGCCACATCAAGACAAGGTAGTTTCACAATAACTTGGAAGCCTGACTTTGATTGCTGATACATTTGATGTTGATAATTCAGAAAGAAGTTTCGTGGGGCGCTTGGAAGACCCAGCAATATAACGTTGTTTGTAAAAACACTTATGCAATTTAGGTATCCAATACATTGAATGAACTTTGGTTGAAATTCCAAAGGAACATAGAACATGCATTTGCGTATCCAGGATTTCCTCTTTGGTACATGTAAGTGTCGTGGGGGTATATGTTGAGTTTCCAAGTGAATCGTCAATACCTTATTCATTTATCAAGCAGTTTGTGCAATTTGATTTACACACAAAAACGATGTTGTTCAAAATAAAATGACGACTTTATTTATTAAGGCTCTACAAGCGATTTGTATCGCAAGATGGAGAAAATGGCAGAACGAGACAACTTGAAGGTAATCTTTTTGTTTATCAACTTTTTGAATAGTTTAAAATTAAACCTACAGTCTCTCGGATGTAATTAAACTTCTAATATTCACCGAGTTGCACATTTCTTGATTTTTCTATCCTTTAATACACAATTTACCACAAAAGCCCTAAAAAGGAAATTCATCACTTTTATTGTTTTTACTTTTGACTGAAAGTTTTGATATAAAAGACAGGCAAATGATACAAAAGGGATATTCAAAAAGTCTAAAACAAAGTGACAATGCCATGGCAAAAACGACGAAAAGACAATCAATTGCACACAAAACACAACATAGAAAACTAAAGACTGAGAAAAAAACGAGAACATTTATGAAGTGGGTGTACTCGAGAAAATATCTATTGATTAAAATCATATGACAGGAGGAAAGTACTTTAATTGCTTTTCTTAGGAACTGATATGTCTTCAATAGATATGCAAACAGATTAAAAAGAGCGGTAGGATTTGTAATTTATAAATAGACGTATGCGGGTAATTTACTGTACAGAATAGAGTTTCACATGACACGGACCTTTAGAAAAAAATCGTTATAAGAATCGTTTTTTAGTAATAATGGTCCTTGATGCGGTATTTCTCATCTTCCCTTCCGCTGTTATATCGTGAAATAAACTAAAACATTGAAAAATGATGTATAAGTTCTTACATCTTTCAAAAGCAAGGGATACAGTCGTGGTAAAGCTTAGTAAACAGTTTTTCAGCTGATGGTCTGGCAATTTTTTTAAAAACTTACGGGCTTCTTTTTTCTTAATATAGCAGATTTACATTAAACTTTATGATGAGACTTCATGAATTTGGACGTGGAATGCCACGTTCTTAAGCAGCAGTATTCAACAAACACCTGTGGATAAGTTCTTGTAATAGCAAGGACATTTTTACCCTGCTTTCCAAATTATGTGCTGTGTTTTATTTTAGTATTCGTCGTGTTTGTAGCTCGACATGTTTTATTATGTGTTTCATTTTTCCAACATTTGGTTTAGATAGGCAAAGGCGAAAATATATTTTTTATGGTTCGTGTGTTGGTGTTTTGTGTTATCTGTTGTTCTAATTTTTTATGCTTCCAGTTGTGTGTCTTATTTGTATCCCATATTTTACCTTAGAAATTTAAATCTTATTGCCATAATGCATATTGTTTACCGCTAATTTACTTTGTACATGTTTTAACATTACAGATTCCACGACGATTTCGTGTCTTATATATTACATAAATAAAATTAGAGTTAAATTGAAACCAGCCGGTGTTACCGTTGCCCCTGCGCATCACGAAGAAGACGGTATTGACGGCCATTACTGCGTCATCAGGGAATCGGCGATGATCCGGCCGTTAAACCCAGGACATGTTTCATTATACATAGAAGATGGTGCAGAAGACGACAAATATAATCATTTGAATTCAAAAATCGAGAGAAAGATCACAGATGTGTACTTAAACAATGGCAATATTTACACAAAAATACAAAATATTCAAAGTGGAAAGCAAACTACTGTTACTCTTCCAAATTATGACAGGATGGAATTAAACAAGGATCAACATTAACGTCACGGGTTTTTTCAAACGAAAAATATCAGACAGTATTCAATCTGCATGAGTTCTATGCGTATTTTTTTATCATAATTCTCCAATAAAATATCAGAATACACGTATAAGATGTCTATGTTATATGTGTTTGCAAATTACTTCAGTCTTATAATTCAATCAAGTTAATGAAGTAATCCATCTTAAAACTCTATAGCCTAGTTGGTTAACCTGTTGCTTCCTCTTCGAAGGAAATATTTACCTATTCTTGTTTTGGAGTGGGGACACACCCTAATAGAAAGTATTGGTTTTTTTTAAATAGAATGCAACGGCGGTGCAATATATTTTTATTCACGAATATCGTTGAGAAAAACAGACCAGTAGTCTTAAAATGAAACGACAAAATAAGCTGAAAATTAAAAGAATGAACGAAGGGATGATTGATTGATTGATAAATTGATTATTTTTCCTTGACATCCGATTGCAAATATTGCATACGTGTTTAGGACGAATACAAGTCAACAATGAATTCTATGTGTTACAGTATCGTAATGTGGCCGTTGTTTTATAATTGTTTGTATTGTTTGTGTATTTTAAAGCGAGATTGTCGGGCAACTCGTGACATTATTTGCTTTGATTAACCTTTGCTAGACATTATCTATAATTTGTTTATATGATCCCGTAGCTGTGTTTTTCGGTGCATATATGTAGCTACTACTAGCAGAAAAACATCCGAGAAAAACTGATACTATATGGCCCCCCAAACTTGTTGTATGATAAGAGTTTGATCCATGCTGAAGGCCTTTATTTTTCAGGAGATGATAAACAGAGAAAAAAACCTATTCGTTTGGTTTTTGGTTTTTTTAGCGAGCAGTCTTTAAACTCAAAGATAAATACGCAATATCCTTTCTTTTTCATTATATTAACATATATGTATTTTGTAAATGGTGTTGGGTGGAGGCCAACAAAGTTAACATGACTGTGTTTATAATCCATATTATTATGTTCAACTGCAGGGATGGTCCGTGTTCAGAGTATGAAATATGAAAATGGATATCAGGAATCGCCAAACATTACGAGCAGTACAACAGATAAAATAAAGCAACAATACCCGACTCCTCCAAAATAATTGATCCACAAACTAGGAAAAACAACAATGAACAACAAATCTTCCAGATAGCCTGACTTGGCACAGACACAAAACGTGGTCGGTTAGTTTAACGTGCGCACGACCCCCCCCCCCCCCCCCCCCCCCCTTTTTTTTGCCTACGTAGACAGGCAAAGAATGAATTGTGCGATTATCGCATGTCGTAAAGTTAAAGCACACAATTAAAAACCTGCTAGTGAAGCTCCTAACAAGATGGCCACTCACTTCAACAAGTAAATAAAAAACGGCACCAAATTTCGAAAAAATTATCAATATGAGCTCGATAGTACGGGGAGCTATCTTAGGTTGATATAGCTGTACGCTGGGTACTGCTTTAGAAAATAAAAATTAAGAAACAACACTTCTTACAGATATCATAAAGTATCACATAAAGATGAATTGAAATCTGCAGTATTTATTAGAGGTTAGTAAGTATTTGAAATCGTCAGGCCATCGACGGAAAGAACCATTTTTAATGAATATATAAGTCTACCACGCCTATAATCATTGCCGTTGACAAGTTTAAAGAAATTTCCAGAGTTAAAATATATAATTGGTTTTTATTTTCGTCTATTAACGAAATTTCTATACAAGGTAAGAGACAAATACTGTATTATATTAGTTTGTGGAGGGAAACATTAAGTTTACAGACAAGATTCTGGTACCATTTAAAAAATCAATTCCTGAGTTTTCAAATGTGTATAATATTTGTCAGAACTTCTATTTCCCATTTCTGAAATTTTTCCATAAAAGAAGATTCATAACAGAAAAGAAAATGTTCGGCAGTTAGAGTTGCACATTAGTTTCCATAGGAATCCAATAATTTGACGATATAAAAACTTGCCATAACGAACAAAAATATTGTTAAGCAAGATATTTGTTCTTGCTGTCTCCGCAAGGACTATTGGCGATTGAGATAATAACCAATTCACTCAAACGATTCTTTCTTTCGATGTTTTTACGAATTTATCGCGAAGTAACCTATACATGACTGCTGAAACTGCGTTATATTTAAGTTTGCACATTCCATTCATATCCGCGTAGTTACCTCCGTCTACCAGTGTTCTTAATTGTAAATTCTAGATGCTTTTTTTGTGTTGTAGTAATGATTACCTATAAAATTAATCTGTCAAGTGTGAGATTGTACAAGAACATGAAAAGTGTGTTGAGAATATATTTTGCATAATCTTCTGAATTACTATACCAATATTTTGTGTACTGTTATTTTTGTACAACAATACAGTTTTACTCCCACCTTACATCTAGCAGGGGGTTCTTTTTCTTCCTGACAAAATATATGCAGGCGTACATTAACGGCAGTATTATACTTTTTCCTCAAAGTCCCTGGATCACAAAATGTTTGGTGTCGATAAAAATATATCGTGGAAACATTTTAACTACATAAAAAAATTAGCAACGAACCCCATCAATAACCTGGGGTTAACTCAGGTGCTACGGATCCGGAAGGGTAAAATTTCCAGCTCCATATGTGACACTCGTTGTGCTGATCAAATAAAGTACAAATTTGGTGATAAGTCTCAGTCAGGGAGGTCACAATCGTAGAAAAGGGGATGGATACCACAATTTGGAACATATCCGCGGTCATCTGTGACATACGATTTTTTTAGAATACACATCTGATTCCCATCGTCACTATAGATGGTAATTTCATCGGAACTCTGAAGCTTTTGACAGCAAATAAAATAAATATTGATAATATGGAAAGAAGTCCCGTGAAGCATTTGGTAGACCCAGCAATATATGTGAGTAATGACACTTAAGTAATTAAGCTATCCAGTACAACGAAAACGATCAAATTGTTCTTCTTGTTGGGACTTTATCTTTTTGTAAGTGTCGTCAAAGTACATGTTGAGTTTCCAAGTGAATCGTCAATACCTTATTCCTTTTTCAAACATTTTATGTAATGTGATATACAAACAAAAACAATTTTGTTGTGGACTTTGTCTGCGGTGATTACAAGATGTGTTAATATGCCCATTTAGTTTTTCATTATTTGCTTCAATGACTTCTCATCCCAACATATTCGAAAAGTGTATCTACGTCTTTTTTCATGTTTAGCCCATTGCCTGGCATAATCCTCGACGGATATAATTCATGATAGGCTTGAGAACATCTACTGGATAAAAGAATTTTTTTTTTTTTTGGAAAGAAAAAAAGAATTTAATGTGCATTACGACATTGGTAGAGCCAAAGTATGACCGAAAAAGTTGTGGGCAAGAATGTATCCATATGCTAAGTAAGAGACGGAAACAATCTTATATCACATGTCAAATGTCAATAGTTCAATATGTTCCACTTAAAATGAAAACTTAAGTGCATTAAAAATGGTAATAAACAGTTACTGTACTTTGATTTGTACAATGTACAAAAAGATCTTGCTACAAATCAACAAATCATCGATTACTAAAATTTTCAAATATGAATATCTTACATGTAACAGTGTTTGTTGTTTGTTGTTCGGGCCAACGGAGCTATGGTAAATTATGTGGGTAACGTATTTTAACTTTTTTGTCCACTTTAAGTCTAAAGATGTCATAGTTCTAAAAAAAAAAGAATATTGAGAGATTTCTTGATATATATAAAACCAACCAAAAAATATCCCCATCAGAATAAGGTGAAGACACAGATTTGAAAAAAAAAATTAAAAGTAGTCATTTTTGCAGAAAACAGAAATCTAAACTTTGTTTTACTTTAATTATAATGATTTTTTTTTATAGTTTTTTTTATGATTATTCCACCAAATACTTTTTCAAATGTCTAATAATAATCATTTGATAATTAACATAAGTTTAAATGATCTTTTTAAACTTTTAATTGTTTCAACAAAAATCCATATGTCATGTTCATACAAATATCCGTAAATGTAGTCTTTTGAAGTTAACAGCCAGTCACTTGCGTGCGTCGGGTGCTCCGAAAGATTCAGCTCAATGTTAATACCTAAGATATATTCAGAAACTCTTAGATACCAGTATCTTGCTATAATGAGGCTTTAATGTTGTCGCGAAGTTAAACATCGACTGAAACTTGCAAATTCGATACAGTAGGTGAAGTCATCTCGTAGTTAGTTATGAAAATACACCGTTACACTATCGCAATGTCCGCATTTGGAAATCGACGTTCACAAATGAAACAAATATTGTTCTTTTTATTAAACTAATACTTTAAATAATTAATGCACTACTATTTTTCGGATTCTATTACTGGTTGCCTGACTTTAAGTTGAAAGATCGACATTTGTTCGAATTTCCTTATTCTAATATATTGCTGTATAATACTTGTTATCTTTTGCTTCTTTATCAACTTTAACTAACACCTTGAAAACTATCTGTTTAAGACAGTCGCTTGTTGATTTTTTAATATTTTTACTCTGGCCGAAACAAGTAAGACACTTTTCAATGTTTTCCCCATACGTGTGATTTTGGTACCAGTTATTTGAAACTTTATAATCATGTACAGTACTGTAAAAGAGTTGGGATTACCATCATGTTAAGCAGCTTCAATTCCGCAAATAACTTATCGTTTCGTGTCATTGTTTTGTTCTGGTTGTGCAGTTTTATTCTTCTCATGAAGCTTAGATTTTTATAAGAAGTAATAGGAATCCGCTTTGCCAAACATTTTAGTTCTGTCGGGAAAAAAATATAGCTGAGAGACTTGCTGAAATCGTCAGACGACATCTTATTGGAGTTTTTATCCTGTAATGACGACTTTTTTTCATTTTTTTTTACGTTTTTGCCTTATATCTTAAAAATTATAATAGAAAAGTAGAAACTTAAATTAGCAAAAATTATTAGCAAGACAAGATCTACAATTATAATAATATAGAAGAAAGTCGTCTGATGACTCCTTATTAGAGTTTTTGCATTTTAATAACGATTTTTACAAATTCGCTTGCTTTTTTGTCGTATATCTCAAAGATTATAATAGATAGAGAGAACATAAATTAGCAAAACTTATCAGCAAGCCAAGATCTACTATTAAGTCAAGTCAATATGAAGGAAAGTATCTGAAGACTCCTTATTGGAGTTTTTGCCCTTTAATGACGATTTGTTTTACCCTATTTTGTGTTTTGGGCAAGCATTATTAAAGAAGATCGATAGACTTATTAGAGAGAAATTGTGAACAGTAAAAAATATTAATCCGGTTATCGGTTATCAGATGCACCGATCATTATTTGGTCATTTCACCCATATATTTATGTCCAGAACCAATTTGCGCCAATTACAATTTTGAAAAGGTATCAGTTGCGCCACTCTCTAGTTTTCTGATGGTATCAATTGCGCCAATAAATGGAATCAAATTGCGCAACAATTCCCTGAATATTTTTCTAACTATATTATACATGTAACCAAGGATTTAATTTGGTATAGTTAATAGCAAATAATTGATGTAACATTTCTATAATTAGCCTATCGACTTTAGATTAAACAGAACAATTATCAAAATTGAGAAAACTCACCAATAAATAAATTGTTCTGTACAGTAATAGAATAGTTTTTCACATGTAACGATGTGTTATATATTGTTCAAGAAAATAGAGTCTGATAGAGAGAAACCTATCATCGTTGTAGAAGATCAAACGTTCTGTCAGGCGTTTATTAAGAAAAATGGAGAAATAAGATAAAGATGTAGAGTGAAGTCTTGTTGTGCTTGGCTATTTACAGATGAATCTTGTACAGTTTTTTTGAGTAGGGTATTAGTCCATATAAATGAAAATAATTCTCAGAAAATAGAAAGACAAATTTTGAGAACAGCATGCAAACGAAAAGCAATTGAAATGTTATCTAATATTTCCTTTAAGGGTGCATTCTTCAAGTTCTAAATCAAAATTAAGTTTGAAAAAATAAAAATAATGAAATCTGAAACGAGATGATATTCTCATTCTTGTTTATAAATAATAAGGTTAAAACAAGAGTTTCAAACACGCCAGAATGTAAAAGGTGTATACGACCTACTCCTTTTCACGCATACGTCGATAATTTATTTCAAGATACCTTGCTAGAGGCAGAAATCCAGACCATGGATGCATCTATATGATAGTCATCTTTTCGAAGAATTCATCAAATGAAATTTATGAGGATGCATCTTCAAGAAAAAAATCATTACTCTTTACTAAATCAGTTAACTTTAATTTTCACTTCTTGTGTTTAAATATAATGATGCATGGGTTCTATGAAGAGTCTGTATAAATGTATGTGTAATTTAACGTCATTCCTCACAAATTGCTTTCATGATATGCTTGATGTTTAACTTAAACAAATATGTCTGAAAAAGGACATGTACTTTGATTGCAGTTTTGAAAAGTAAGATGGTCCTGGTTTTTTGCAAAATTGACTACTTTTAATTTGTCCTTTTCTTTAAATCTGTGTCTTCACCTTATTCTGATAAGGATAGTGTTTGGTAGTCTTTATATTTCTCAAGAAATCTCTTATTGATATCAAGGGGATATTATATTTTCTTGTTTGTGCGTCCGTCCGTTCGTCCGTCCCGTTCCAAATATAAAACTTTTAAAATTATATACATGTACCAAATTAGAGTTTGACCCGGATCAAGTGCTTCACTGAGAATGGAAATGTGAAAAATGTTAGGGACAAGGTGTCTTATGTCCACATTTTCTTGTTTCAAATGTACATGTATGTGTATCTTATATATCCATAACAGCTTCGGTGGTCTTGTGGTAGCGTGCTCGCCTCGACAGTAAAGCTTGAATTTTATTTCTCGTGAGGTAAATGATTTGCATGAGTCTTGGCAGTTAAAGCCTCGACATGATTAAAAGGCAGCAATGCCTATAGGGAATGGGAAATGGAAAATCAGAATCGCAAAATAGTTTTCAGCATTTACAAATGCACGACAAAATCGAATTTTAAGCATGTTTGATGATTTGATTGTTGTTGCCTCAGACGAATTTCAACTGCGACTGAAAAAGGACAGCATGTTACTGTTAGACAGGGACAGACGTTTTGTCTAGAGGTAATGATTGCACTTTCCCAACATCAAATTGAATGTCCCCATTCTGACTGGACGTGTTTGTGTATTATACATCCTTTACAACCAAACAGATGACACTTTAAGCATTGGTAATACTGTTGAATAATGTATTGTATAGAGTACATACTGATAAACCCGCAACGTTAAATGAATATTCCAACCCCTGGAAGGGTGAGTTTACGTGACCACAGTTACTCTTGATTGATCACACTGGCACACATATCCTGTCCTTGGAAAATCCAGATTTGTGGAGTTTTATCATGGAATAAAAGTAGTTTCCAGTGCGCATTACATCAATACATTGCAATGAACTGCTGGCCAAACGTTTAATTCTCAGTATTCAATTACAGACAGGTTCTGGTTAAAACAAAAATAGCTGACAGAATTTCATGTTTGGCCTCCTCTAAAATGCTTTTGTACAAATTTAGTGATATAAAAGTTTAAGATCCACTTTATCTTGTAACTTAATATGTTATGGGGTTTTTGACAAGATGCATGTATTATAATAATTGGGAGAACTATGAAGTCTGGCTCATATTAATCAAGGTACGTATCAGTAGGAAGAGGCGCACAGTTTGTCCCAGGTATGACAAGTGTCTTTTAAAAACCACCAAAAGTAACAACATCCCACTGATACTTATCTTTTAGCGTTGCGCAAAGTCGTGATCTTCTATACTGCAATGGAAATAAAAACATTGTAAAGGAAAAAAATGCATGCCGTTTTGACTGAATTGCGCATAAAAAAATCTCATTACCTTTTTTCTTCTTCTTTTCTTTCGTATGACACATGCACTTCAATGATTTATGCAGTAGAACATATTTGGTGACCACTTATAATTGATGGTCAATAAAATAGATAAAATACTATAAACTAATGTACTGCAAGGGAGATAAAAATATATTGCCTGGAAATGTCTTTTGTACTTGGGACTCGAATAGCATTTTAAACTGTTATTCCCGTTTAACAAAATAACTACGAACAATCCTTAATCGAGGACACCTGCTAAAATACAATCTATATATGGACGTTTGTTTATCTATACATTTCTTATAAATCGAAAATATTTTATTTAGAAATTAAATGGAAGCGATAGTTTTATCTCAGTTTTGAACTTTTCTGAAAAACACTGATTTCGACATTTCTGAAATTGCAAGAAAAAGATCCTTCTAAAAAATCTGTTTCCACAAAAATTTAGATAAATAGATATATAGATAATAAAAGAAAAAACGTCGAATGAAGAAAAAAATAAACATGTAAAATAAAAAAATAATGAAGCGTTCATCTGCAAAGTATATTGAAAAATAATTGTCATAATAAAACCCATGAACGATAACTCGATCGTATGATTGGTAATGGATACGTTTATGTTTATACGTGATCTTTAAAAGTCAGTGAAAATTAAGTCGGGAATCTGGATAACCACGTGATAAATAAGAATGCAAGATATCTATCATTTTTCATCATTTTAAACCTATTTGATTAATGAAATTTCCAATGTATGATTTTAAAAGTGTTGGAATACTTTGTTTATTATACTTGAGCTACTTGTTAAACAAAATACGAATGTTGGCAATAACCGTTCCCGTTAGGTGCGTACGTCGAGTTACATACGTATGTCATGTTATTGAAAATCTCTAATATTATTACCTATATGATACACAAATTGCATTTACATTCATAATAGCAATAAACAAAGCTACCTACGCGGCGAAATGTATCTTTATTACTTTTTAGGGGAAAATCCAATGTTTACATTTTGTCATTGTAATTGTTCGTCACTCAGAAACACAAAAGACAAAATCACGTATTAACTTTTAAAAAGCTTCTCGGTATGACGACGTTACGAACTGTGTAAATGGTTGGAAAAAAAACATTGCCTATCATTTGATTGTTTATTAATTAATGGCTTCCAACAATTTGTTTTTAGTTTTTATTCCAGAGAAGATTGTTGTGCTTATTACTTTAAAAGAGATGGGGACTGTGAAGGTAAACATCTATGGGATTCATTTTTATCTATTGGTATCAAGGAACTATGTTATAGACAATTCGCATTGAAGAAGCCTTCAAAAGAGATCAATTTACATATCTGCGTTTTATCAATAGTTTGTACCATCTTTTTTTATTTTTATCATTGCACTAAGAAGTGTTGCTCGACTTATGGCCGATATTATTTAGTTAATAAATTTTTGCTAGTTTTACTTCCAGTGGCAAACATTGCATGCATAATCAGGACGAGAAGTAATCAACAATCATTCTGATAGGTAGGTTTTGCAAATGGATTGATCTGGGCTAGTAAAGTTTTGAAATTCGCTCTGCTATATTTAAAAATGGGTGTTTCTTGGATACGGACAATAACAATCATCTCGCAATAGCTCAATTATGGACACCTCAGAGGGTTTTATAAAGGGTTTGTTAACGTAAAGAGAGCTTGACACTCACCACATAGAAGGCATTGGATTCAACATTCACAATCTGACCAGACGTGGCTTCGAATTTATACATTCCGTACAGCCAAATGGACGCCCTATTTAGCGTCGGTTCTTCTGCTGGAATGGAGTAGTCAAGTTGACAATGCTTCTGTAATTTGAGCAGTCGAACTGTAGGGTTTACTTACATTATTTAACGTCTAGTTTACAGTCAACGAATAATTCTTACGAAGACGTTAGGTCTTTATGAAATACGATAAGTATATAATTTATAAAATGTATGTATTAAATGTGCATAACACGAATTTTGTTTAAGGTGGATTGCAAAATTATTCCTAAATCAGATAAAAAAAAATTGAAAAATAATGTTTTCACCGGTATCCGACGCCTTTTATTAAACGACAACAAGCGCATTTATTTGTCACTAAAAATCCTTTCTGTCAGTTAATGAAAATTGTTTGGCAAAATGTGAATGAACTGCGTTTGTAATGTTGAGAGTCAAACAAATTTAGTGTCAACAAAAGGTAGCAAAATAATCTTTATTCAGAAAATGGAAATTCAATATAATACAATCAATTGAACATGTGTATAAAAATACAATAAACTTCACAGACGGCTACTTGAAAATCACACCTAAGGGTGATCGCTTTGGAATCAATAGGGTATTGACTGTTGTAGTTCTGATTTCTTACAAGCACTTCTGTTGAAGGTCTTTGAATGCAGTATATTTTCTTTCCAAATCAGACATTGTTTATTCCAAAAAGCCTTTACATAAGCTTTCTGACGATGCAGCTGATTTAAAAGTCAAATAAACTTTGACTGGTAAGTCTTCACTTTTGGTCTACAAAAAGGCCGTATGAAATTTCCCTATTTGGATAACCTGTGATGATTTTATTTTTATTCAAAATTTGAATGGTACCTTTTTTTTGACCGTTATTCATACTGTAAAAGTTCATCTCGGAAGATAAATGTTCATAAGAGAAATCTTCATCAATGTATCTCCTTCTGTAGCCCCGTTTTGGCAGTCGCTTTGTCACGGTGTAATTGTTGGAACAAAATCGCTTGATTCTGAAAAGGCTGGCTATACGAAAATAATTTAACTCAGTACCGTTTAGGATGACAAACTCTTTGGTTAAAAATATTGGTGTCTTTTGGGTTTCATTATATTTCAGTTGACATGATTCATTTCTTAGACTGCGTAGTTTCGCAATTTACCTTGGAGTTCAGTATTTTCGTTAATACATTTTTTATACATGTTCAGTGATAACATTGTATAACAGTTTTTCGGGTTATCCACTCTAGGAGATATACTAATGTCTTTAATGTTGTTACATATTTGATCGTTTGTTAAAACATGTATTTACATATTTGTTTACGTATAATTTTTAACAGAATGCCCAACTGGAACTGTAAGGTTAAGTGGTGATGATGAAGACTTTTGTAGACCATGTCCGGGCGGATTTCATGGATATAAATGCTTAAATTTATGCAAATGTTCAAAGCATGAAAGGTTTGTAAAAAGTCATTTTTTGGCAAATAAACAATACTCAAGATTTTCATTAGTATATGAAAAGCAGTTCAAACTTTGAACTTGTTTTCATGTTATATAAAACAATAGTGTACTTAGAGAATTATGAGCAGTTTGAATGAAATACTAGTATAGATGTTTGGTGGCGATTGGCACATCTTTGATAGTTATTGTAAATCCTAATATTGACAATGACATTCTGAGATTGGCTTATTGCATCGTGACTTAGTCTTTTATACTAATGTTAATACTCATGTTGGTGTCCACAGTTTTCTAGTCGGTTGTTGCGTTGATGACTCAATGGCGTACCCCATATCTCTGTTTATTCATATCACTAACAATAGTTCGATGTATGTTGCTCTTATTAGCCTTTATTCAACAAAGATATACAAATTCCAACTGTTTATTATTTTAGGTGTGAATCATCACAAGGATGTATCTCAAAAGGAGGCAATGGTGAGTAACATCAGAAGCAACGTATTATATGTTTGATTAAACTTTCGGCCATAATGAATGATATCATATTGCTATAAATTCCAACTCAGTGCGTTGTATGGAATTACATAGAATGAAAACCAATATAGCGAATAGATTAATTGTCCGTTGACAGTAATAACATAAACGGTAACAATTTTACTGCACCAGATGCACTTTTCGACAATGTCAGCGTCTTTAGTAATTCCCGAGTCCAAAACATTTTAAAATCCAAAACCTAAAACAAACGTTAAAGAGCTGCTAAAATAAAAAGGGCCTAAAGTGCATCCGAATTTCGTTAAACTTATAAAAACAATGCAAGAAATTTGTAGTTTTTCATCCTTTTCGGGTAATCACTTTTATATTCGATTTTAGTTTTGTAATGTTCTCCATTACTGCATATAATTATAGTTGATAAATATGGATATAGTCCATGTGCGCTGAAACGGCGTATAACACTCATCCATCGATAAATCAGATCTGACAGGACGTGGTTGAGTATAGATACATGTAACATAGCCAAAAGGACAATCACTCAGCACTGGCCTTACTGGCTGACAGGAGATGTCCAGGTGACAATTTTTCCATAATCTACTCGACTATTGTGGTCTTTTAAATAATATGTAAATAAAAACAGTTTTAAAATTGAATAACGTTAATAACACAATCATAGAAGCGACCCGATCTAAATTTATTGAAAAGACTTAAAACTTGTATTTAGGATTTTTGGGTTATTGCGTCCACAAAAGTTTAACTCTTTATTTTTCTCGCATTGTTGCTTAAATAGAGGTAGATTTGGAAAACATCTATAAAGTTTATGACTATCATTAAAGCTTTTAAGAGGATCTTTTTTTTCTCTGTGAATATATTTTGTTTCGGATATTCCAATTGATATGAAGAAAAATTAATGGCTATTAGTTTCTAACAATATGTGATATGATATTATGCATGTCTCTTGGTTGATATTGAGACTTAGAGAAGCAGCTAGAACTTTTCAAATCGATTAGTTAACTTTGAAATAAGTTATCATAGTGAACTTATTTCGACTTTTCCTCTATGTTTATCCACTGCACCGTTCACCTCTAGATATTCATTCTCCGATACTTCTCTCATTGTTTAATGAAAATAAGAAGATGTGGTATGATTGCCATCTGAGATGAGGATGTAAACAACTATAGGTTATATTACGACCTTCAACAATGCGCAAAACTCAAACTCTATAGTAAGCTATTATACTTTCTTACTAGAATGTCCCGGCATCACAAAGTATGAAACAATTCAAGCCAGAAAACCAATGATAAAACAGCTTTTGCTTAAAACAACAATCACTGAAAACAAACTCCTGACTTGGGAAAAGCACATAAATATTTTATATTCCCTTTTATTGGTTTCAATAATACTAAATGTTATCTTTTTAGCATAAGATTTATTTTGGTATCGAACGTACGTTATGAAAAATATTCTTTATAAACATTACCTCAATTGGGTTGTTGCCGCTGCTTATGGACGGTCAATCCCCGTCTGCACCATTCGCTTCAATAAAAGACGGATTAAAATAATTATTTGATTGAGTTTATGTTACTGTGTTTTTTATTGTTTTTTTTTCATTTTCTTATTCTTCAAATACATTAGAAGATAATGATTTCAGTTGGTAGTGAACATACCACAAACAAAAGAAGTATACAGTCAACGACAAATTATATGAAATTGAAAGGTTAAAAAGACAATGGTACATTATCAGTCTGTCGTGTTTAAAAAAAACGGGTTTAGATTTCACTGAAATATGAAATCTTTGAGAGGTAAGTGCATTTTAAATGCATGTGTGTTGATTTGAATGAAACTGGCTACTTGGGTTTTCATGTAAAAAGGAAGCTTTAAATATTTTATTTTAAAAAAGGATATGCTAAGATTATCAACATTCATAATAGTTCGTACTGTAGAGTTATCTTTTTTACATCAAATACTTATTTCATACAATTTTCTGTTTTATTGAATGATGAGGCTTTTCTAACTAATCAAAGAATAGTCTTTCCTCTGAATAATCCTAACAACAGTGGTGAGTTCAAATCCAAATTTCAAAATGAAACTGGATGGTATATTATACTTTGTATCACAATTTTGTTAAAATCATGATATAACCAATATTTTTGCAGTGTAAGAATAAAAACCATGTCATTTTTTATACAAGTATTCAAACAGCGCTGTACAGTAAAAATCATAACCTTTAACAACAAGTAAATAAAACCAATGAACCATTGGTTACTTTATATGATTTAAAAAAAATATATTCTTAAATAATTTTTGTTTCCTTACTCATACGCATTTAAGTAAAAATAATAATTAAAAGTTTATAACAATAATTTTCTTTTTCTAGGGACCACATTCTTATATAAAGAAATGTTGATTATTACAATACCGTGTGTTGTAGTATCGTTAGTCATTGCTATGATCACAAAACGTGCACATCATCACTGTAAAAGATTTGAAGTGAGCAGTGTCGCTGAAAACAGCCAAACTCTGCACGTTGGAGCCAATTAAACAGGAATTGATAATGACATTGAAGTATCCGAAAATAAAACAGATTTTTCTGCAAAAGATTCTTGGTCTTCGTTTGACAGTATAATATCAGAATCTGACGGCTGTCTTCCCGTAGAAACCGGAGTAATTCAAAGCTGTAATAACTCAATTCAGGACATTTATCAAAATTAAGTTCAAGACATTGAATCGATGATCTGAAGACTTTATTGTGTGGAACCAGATTAAGAACTTAAATAAAGGATTTAAAAATAAATTCTATAGGATTTTTTGTTGATTAAAATGATGAATGTATATATATTTGTAAAGAGAGGGGTAACAACTTATAATACAATGGAGTCAGTTGCCTGTCCCCTACCCTGATAATAACAAACAAAAATAAAACCCTAAAGACTAACAAAAATATTGCTTTATGTTTTGAAATAGCTTTAGTCAGGAGCCTGTAATTCAGTGGTTGTCGTTTGTTGTTGTATATCATATTTGTTTTTCGTTCATTGTTTTGTACATAAATCAGGCCATTAGTTTTCTCGTTTGAATTGTTTTACAATTGTCATTTTAGGGCCTTTTATAGCTGATTATGCGGTATGGGTTTTACTCATTGTTGAAGGCCTTACGGTGACCTATAGTTGTTAATTTCTGTGTAATTTGGTCACTTGTGGAGAGTTGTCTCATTGGCAATCATACCACATCTTCTTATTTTTAAACTAAACAAAAATTACAATTACAAAACATGTTATAACTTTTCAAGAATTACAAAAAGAGGGGCGAATGATACCAAAGGGACATTCAAACTCATCAGTCGAAAACAAACCGACAATAGCCATAGCAAAAACGAAAAACGACGAAAAGACAAACAACGGTACACAAAACACATCAAGCTAATCCTGTTCCACATATGACACCCGTCGTATTGCTCATGTAAGTCATGTGATTACACACTACGATCACAGTTACCTCAGTCTCTTAGATTTACCTATCCCTGCCTATCATGAAACTTTGATATTACTACTCCTTATAACATCAAGGACATTAAAGAATATGTGTCTAGGTAACCAGAGTAAAAGTCACGTTTCCAGTTAGCATATGTACCTTGTTGTTTCATATATCGAGATACAATGCAGTAATAAAATATTCTTGCAGTTGTATTAATACATTTTTACTGAACTTTACTTATTCTTCCACAAATGCTTTATTTTTTATTTACTACATATTTTTTTCGTTTTATGGAAGTGACAACAGACCATATCTTGTTAATTTTATAATGATGGTCGGTTTAGGAGTCAGCTTTATGAGAACTTTACATTTTTATATAGCAACATTGCAGAAGAACATGCGTATGGAATATGTATTTCCAAGTGGATACAATATATCTGGTTATACAACAAACCGTTCCCCTATTTAGGTTCCAAATGCGATTTATCATAATGTTTACATGACATGAGCACAACAACCGAGTGCTATTAGTGGAACAGAGTTTAGACACCCTTGGGTTTTTGTTCCCAAAACAGAGAACAGTTGAGTTCGTGGTGTTCAATTAGTTTTACCGGGGTTTCCTACGGAGAAACCTATTATTAATTTGAGTTAGTAATGCAGGCGGTTGGCGGAAACCATGAGAACCATTCGAGATGTCGTGTCTCATAACACAATTTAGCTCAAGTAAGATTTTGTCCTTTTTCACTTTTGCCACTATAGGCAGAGAAATACATTGTCTGACACAATCAGCTAGCAAGAAAATCACAGCAATGATAAACAGAGATGATCAGACCTCATCCAGAATAATGCATGATCCAATTGTCATTTGAGACTTTTCAGTATTCAAAGGCAGGACAAAATATGTATGCGCAAAATTTAATGTGGATTTGTTCATCCTCAGCAGAAAACATCCTCCTGCATGGAAAGAGACGACAGATATTCTGATGTTGTTTTGTTGTTTACATTATGGCTACAGGGATGTATTTAATCTCACTGTCAGACACTTTTTGACAGATCAATGTCTCAATTACACTTTGGGATGTATAAATACATGGACTTGAACGATCTGAATAGGGAAATTAAATGTGATTGGAAAAAGCCATGGTATTTTGCATATTTATTTAATTAGGCAGCAACCATTTGGCGTTATATATATCTTATGTGTTACTTTACCCTAGCAACACCATTGTTCCTTTTACGCGGTACACTTACGACCTGAATATACTTATAACTCGCCACACATTTATGTAAGTGGTTCTTGCGGTCTCATTGCTTTTGTCCTTTAAGGAAATTCAAAGCTTTGCTATAAGAAATGTCACACCTCACACACTTTCCTAATATTGGTAAATCCAGAAAAGCGTTTGGACAGGTACAATTTATATTCTGGTATTTTCATTGTATTAAGTAAATCTTAAGTCTACAAAGACTGGTTCTGGACAACGTTCCATTTCAAACTGTAGACGCAATGGCAACTTCATGATAAACTCTAGATCGCCTCCAGTCAGTCACGTTATGAATGATGTAAACATCAGTCATCTGCCATATTTGTTAAACTTCCTACAACCAACAACTATAACTATTCTATAAACAATTTTCCTGACAAGGGACAAACACATAAAAAAGGCATAGTTAAATTGTCCTATAATACACCCGCGACATCGCCGGTCCGTGAATGAATTAAAGTACCTATGCCTAATTTTTATTCTGGATATTTAGTATTCGTATTGTCATCTGATGAAGTCATGCTGATTGTAAGATGCACAGTTTTCTCTGCTTTCAAATCTTTGTTTGAACCCGTCCTGGTTTTCTTTCTACAATAATCTCACTATAAACTAAATTATTTGTTTTAACTAATTAACCAAAATTAATTGTGGTATTGAGGTGGAAGAAAACAGACTTGTTGAATAGTGTACTATAGTGTAACATAGAAATATAAAACAACTACTGGAAGAAGGTTCTTTCTGATATAGGAGGGATTTACAGAAGGTAACAGGTAACCGGAAACTACATGTGACATATACTATTGGTATCGGTATCGGATTCGACCCGGAACTTGTTAATTATTGGTAATATCAATTATGTGGAATACAAAAGGGTCTTGAATGGTGTAGTTTTTAAACAACACCATTGTCCTATATTAGTTATATATAAAGTTGAGCTCTTTGATTCGTCGTTTTTACGTCATACCGGCTAACAAATTGGACCTCGTTATTTTAGTAGTATAGATGATTAAGTATTCAACCTTGTCACTTTCGAGGAGGTATGCTATTAAACATTATTTAGACTCTGAAATTGAAAAACATACAAACTTCTTAAAACCTTTTAAAATCAAGCAATAATTGATTTGAATGAAATAAAACGTAAATCTAACTGTAGAAATTGCAGGTCTGGTGGCATAATGACGTCGTAATCATTTTAAAATGTGCGGCAGTTCATGCGCTAGATCCTCAGCCGAGTTAAACCAAAGTTCATATTTATTCTTTATAAATTGTTATTTAGTTTTTTTTGTTTCAATTATTTTACATTTTTCATCTCGGGGCCTTTTATAGCTTGCTACATTGTATGTGGTTTGGGTTTTGTACATTGTTTAAGTTTGTGCGGTGTCCTATACTTGCTAGCTTCTACGTCATTTGGTCTCTGGATTAGCAAACATACCATATCTTCTTATTTATATATTTGCTGCTTCTTTGCCAAGCATACGGAGTTAAGGAATCAGAACAAAAAATAGTTTGCTGGGAGTCAGAATAATGTGTCCGGGAAGGTTGACAAGTATTCCTGCAGACTGTTCCCTTGTAAACGACAATGTAGCACCTTCAAATTCAAATTCGGTTCATCACGGTTCATCACACGGGGCATCATCGTACGTTTTTAGTATAAGCATTATCACAATAATTTCTCTGATAAAAAAACGACAAAATGACAATGGTCTTTTTTTTTAAACACATGATTTGAAGTCAAGTCAGGTGGAGAAAAATCTTTACAAACTCCTACTCCACGGCTGTCATTCGGTATATCTAGAAAAATGATCGTGAAAGAATACCTAACGGTGGTCAAGCATTGCGATCTGATCGTGAAAGATCTGGTATCGGATCGTGAATGTAATTAATTGTAATTCTACTTCAAAATGTGTGAAAAATCTGCTGTATTTTCAAAACGCGGAACAAATCCGGAAAAAAAATATGTCTGTCAAAATGATTCAACTTTCTCAATAATACTGTGCAATAAGAAAAAGAAAATATGCAGTACTTTATGAGAAAACACAAAAGGCGGAACACAAGTCTATGGAATTCATTAAAAAAAACACGTTTTGTACCTATAATGGTCACAGTCCAATATATAATGATATATTTGAAACTGAATCTTTGGTGTGTCAGATAATGCAGTAAAATAAAAGATTTTTTTCCTTGAAACCGTTCATTTTGTTTTTGAAAACATTGAATTTTGTTAATTTTTCATCAAAATTGATCGTGAAAGATCGGACAACGCATTATCTTGATCGTGAAAGACAGGGCGTGACCAGACGGGCGCAGGACGTTTGCGCTTTTTTTTTACCTGTAACACTAAAGGACATTTGCGCTTCAAACACTATGGACAGTTGCCCTTTAAACTTTGTTGCACCTGTACAAAATTAACAAGACATTTGCGCTGTTTACCTATAACAGTTTATCTGTTATCTTAGAAAATATACCAAAGTCATGGAAAAAATTATTCGGGTAAACCAGATTTATTATAAAAAATATAGCATCCGCCCTGGAAATATATGCATGTGTATGTATTTTGGGTTTTTTTGTGTAAGGATGTTACTTTCAGTTATATGGAGTGTCGTTCGTGCGTACATGGTATTGCAATATTGGCTAATTTATTGTTTATTTTTGGCTGCGCTGACATAAACTAGAAAGGTACCATGATAACGTTATTTTACTTGATTGTTTGATCAGTCTGTTCACAATAGCTATACGTCATTGTAACCAACTTAGTGGGGAAATTGCCAATCAACGTACCTCGATTGTGCATGATGCCCAGCTCAAACTGTAATTTAGCCGATTAAGTTTTATTCTCAATCTTAAATTTGTATAAGAAATCAAAAATTATGAAGAACGGATAAATAGAGTGTTATTGCCATAAGGTACCTAGTCGGTGTGGTACTATACATATTAAGATAATAAGGTCCAATGGCATTGAACGATTATAGCCCTATTCACCAACAAAAGAGAACCGGAATGAGTCATGCAAATCCAGTATTTGTTATACCAATTAAAAATATAAATTATCCTATAATTAAATATTGATTTGAACGTTTTCGTAGCAGATCTTTCACGATCCTTTTCACGATCTTCAAAAAGCGGTACGGGA